AGGAGCCAACAAAAAACAAAACTGAAGTTTTAAAAACATGCTTTTAACCTTCAGACCACTTCAGAGTCCAGTGGGATTGGGGAGAGTAGAGATGGGTTTCAACAATCAAGAAATTGAAATTAATCTCACTGTGATTTCACCTAAAATGCAGGTTTTCACGATTTCTAGATCAAAAACTAAAGTAGTTTTCAGGAAGAACAAAGGCATGGAGGGAGGGAGGAAGGCTGGTTCCCACAGCAGTCACAGAGGACACAGAGCGCTCTGAGGAGCTGCCTGGGCAGGCAGCGGCGCGGCGCGCGCTGGGCTCAGCAACAGGAGCAGCAAAGGCTGGGCGTCTTATCCTCCCAGAGCCAGCTCTTTCCTAACTGGCCCGGGCAGGCGCCAGGGCTGGTCCCAGGAAGGCTCTGTCACCAACCTCCAGACACAGATTCTTAAAGGCAAGGCCACAACCACCGCTCATTTTAAATATTCACCAAGAACATTCTCCAGAGGAGCTAGCAGAACAGAGAACTGAAGGCTCCACTCTACGCCTGGAGCTAGAAATCTGAAAACTTTGTCTTCAGTGTATGACCTCCACAAAAGGGTCAACTGATCAATCAAAAACTTCCTGAGAATCTTCCATGCATAGCACATTCTGCAAGTCACAGTTTCTCTCCCAGGAGGGGCTCTTTTGGAAATTTCCATTTCTCAGCCATGAAAACAAACCTAGCAGGACACAGGGAACATCTCACCTGTCTGTTCAGCGTGATGGCACTTGGCTGGCACTTAGTACAGATGCCATTAGGCCACGGAAGGTGTCCCTCGCACCCTGATTTAATCTTGCAACTGATGTTCTCCAAGGCAACAAATTTTCCCCTGAATAAGAAGAGAGGCAGCTTAATTAAAAATCACAATGGTGAAAAGTTTAGCAACAGGCTGGAAATAACATGTTAAATATCTCACACCTCCTGAGCATCACTCTAGGGAGCTCAGCGTGCGGCAGGCAATGGCAAGAAAATGTGCCAGAAAGTATTCTAATATAAGTTCTACCCACAGTTCTAGCACCTTCGAAATTCTGCCTTCTGTCCCGTACATACAGACTACAGAAACACACAACTACTTTCCTACAAAAATACAGTTTGTATTTTCACCACCTATCACTAACATCCATCAGGTTTCAAGGACACTGTAGAGTACCTACTGATCTAACCTGTCCACTAAGAGGAATGAGGCTCTTACAAGTTTCATTAATTTATCAGCAACTTCTAGATTATTAGCCCAGAACTTTTTTATAAAAAGTTCTTTACCTTTGTAAAAAAAAAATGTTCTCAGTGACTTGAGTTGAGCTTTAAAAAAAAATATTGGTAGAAGATAGTCAATGAGAGTGTCTTGGACCTCACTCTGAACATGGGGTGAATCTTCACATGTGACTTCAGCTTCCTCATTCACAAAACAGTCCAATAATTCCAATCTCTTTTCTTTTTTCTAGCTTTATTGAAGTATAATTCACAAATATTAATAAAAAAACTGTATATATTTAAGGTGTACAATGTGATGTTTTCTTTTTCAAATAAAAATTTTATGTATTTATGGTGTGCAACCTGATGTTCTGACACAGGCACACACTGTGGAATGGCTGAACTGAGCTAATTAACGTATGCACCGCCCGGCATGCGCAGCATTGTCTGTGGTGAGCCATCTTTGGTGTCACGGTATCGAGGGAGCAGCAGCTGTCACCAAGTCTGTGTGTTAATGGCATCTACAAACAAGCTCGCGGGAGACTATGTTCCCTAACCTGGACAACAAAGGGCCGACCAAATCTCTTTCACCACAATAAATCTCCACTCGCTCCTTAGCCCAGAAAGTTCCATAGCTTTCCCGCCTGACAGGCAAGAGTAGATTTCTAGTGGCTTCTTTCTCCTGGTCTAACATTTTTAAAAAGACATTTTAGGATGTCAGCGGATTGTCAGAGAAAAGCTATAACCAGGCGGATCTGACATTTTTCATAAAATGTTGCTGACTTGTGTTCTGCCACCATCTCCTCCTTTTGCACAGGATTTATAAAACAATGGCTGGAGTCTGTTGCTTTCTCGAAAGGTGGACAGAGAGCCAACAGGAGGAGGGAGTCCAGACCAGTGCTGGATACAGTGTAAACGGAATCGAAATGCTCTCAGTTCACCCTTCCTGGCCCCTGCCGCTGCCTACGTGAGGGAGCGAAGCGAAGCTGCGCGCAGAGCCCACATGGCTGAGCCTGTGGGCTACAACCGTGGCAGCACCACGAGCCCAAGCCGGGACTGTGCCACTGCTGGAGCCCCTGCCATGGCTGAAATTAGGGCTCCAGGGAAAGGCTGACGGGGCTGCGATAGATGGGCTGAGATGATCCGTTTCTCACAGAGCAGAGGATTCACTCAGACTCTATCACACAACGGGCCACCGTCACATCCACTGATTCGGCCAGGGGGCCAGTGTGGGGAAGGTCAGCAGGTCGGCACTCTGAGCACTGTGGACGTGCAGCAGGGCGCCCGTCACTGTCCACTAGCTGTCTGTCTCCTGAATCAGGGCAGATTCACGCACTCAGTGCTGTGCCCCCACTCTGATCTTCGCTTCTCTCATTCACGTGTGCACTGCAATAAGCAACAACCGCCAGACGCACAGAAAGCAATTTGTGCACGTCCAGGCTATAGCAAGCTGCTTACTTGTCAGCCCCTCCGGTCAGCTTCCGGATGTAGGCGTGGAAGGACATGTGCTTCACCGGAGGCTCGAGATGGTTCAGGTAGTCTTCATCGAATGGCTGCAAAACACACACAGTCAGTGGATACAGTCACACACCTGCCGCGGTGCGTGCGGCATGGAGGTCCCACTGTGCACAGGGAGAGACCAGACAGCTCGGCCTCAACGACTCAGGGCCCACGGGGAAAAACGGGTGCTGGGGCCCCACTGATCACTCCAGGCCAGAACCAAACATCTGTCTGTGTACCAGATATCGTTCCAAGACACAAATCTCCACTAAATATAAAACACTCTGACTCAAATATGTTTCAGGAAAATTCTGCAAAAAGAAATGCCACGAGACGAAGCAGTAGGAGCCTCCTGAAGAAAACCAAGTTGGCTCTGCTGCCATCAGTCCAGCACTAGCCAGTCAGCACTGTGGTGGCAGCTCTCGGTCTCACCAGGACAAATCAGCATGGAGACCTGAGACTCAAGGCAAAGTAAATCACAACAGGGACGAGCGTGAAAAGCAACAAGCCCAGCTTTATGTCACATGTTAAAAGGATTGTCCAGGGAGCCACTGTAAATGCTGCCCCTTTGTCACAGCCACACAAGTGCTTTAGCCATTCATAATCCACCGGAAGGTCACTGCCATAAATACAGGCTGGTCCTCCTGGCACAAATGGCACCAGTGGAACATGAGGCCCAGGGCAATAAATATATGAGTTCGGTTTTTTTCTCTTTTTTTTGAGACCACTCTGTTGTCCAGGCTGGAGTGCAGCCATGTCATCACAGGTCATTGTAACCTCAAACTTCTGGGCTCAAGTGATCCTCCTGTCTTAACCTCCCAAGTATCTGGGACTACAGAAGCACGCCACCATGCCTGGCTAATTTTTGCATTTTTGGTAGAGATGGGGTCTCACTGTTGTCCAGGCTAATCTCCAACTTCTGGGCTCAAGTGATCCTCCCGCCTCAGCCTCCCAGAGTGCTGGGATTACAGGCGTGAGCCACTGTACCTGGTGAAATAGATGAGTTCTTCTGACCACCACAACCAAGTGCAGAGAAAGTACATAGCAGCTCTGCTGTCAGCAGCCCACCTCATCGGCCCCCACCACACTGGCCCCAGGACTTACTCCACAAAGACACTCACCTCTAGTGGGACACAATGCACACATTTCCCCAAAGGGCCATGGCGGCATCTGAGAAGAGCACAGGGCAAAAGAAACACACAGTGCTAAGTAGGTCTGTTTCTCTGCTGCTGCCTCCCAACATTTTTGATATTTAAAACATACATAATACTGGCCGGGCATGAAGGCTCACGCCTGCAATCCCAGCACTCTGGGAGGCCTAGGCACGAGGATCTCCTGAAGTCAGGAGCTCGAGACCAGCCTGAGCAAAAGCAAGATCCCGTCTCCACTATAAATAGAAAATTTAGCCAGGTGTGGTGGCACCTGTAGTCCCAGCTACTCAAGAGGCTGTGGCAGGAGATTGCTTGAGCCCAGGAGCTTGAGGTGGCAGTGAGCTACAATGACACCACTGTACTCTACCCAGGTGACAGAGCAAGACTCTATCTCAAAAGGAAAACAAAAACATACATCATACTTTAATAAAGTGTTTCCCTACCCATGTGGAATTATTTTAGATGGTTATATGGATGAACTTTTCTTTTTTTAAAAGAAATAGGGATCTCACTAAGTCACCCAGATTGGTTGTTCACAGACACGATCATGGCTCACCACAGCCCTAACTTCTAGGCACAAATGATCCTCCTGCCTCAGTTTCCCAAGTAGCTGGGACAACAAGTGTGCGCCACCATGCCCAGTTTAGTATTTTGATGTGTATTAGAAAAAAACTGACCAGCACATCAAATCTGCAATGTCATGCATATTAAAATGACACTTTAAAAAGTGAATAAACTTAGAGTCAATTTAAATAAAAGTTTTACGTAAATAATGAGAAAGCTAGCATGTAGACATGGCAAAAGCCCTGAGAGTAGTGCAAAAATTACCCAAGTTTAGAAAACACCTACTTCATATCCATTATTTTTGTTTTTGTTTTTTGAGACAGAGTCTCACTCTGTCACCTGGGCTGGAGTGCAGTGGTGTCATCACAGCTCACAGCAACCTCAAACTCCTGGGCTCAAGTGATCCTCCTGTCTCAGCCTCCCGAGTAGCTGGGACGACAGGTGTACACCACCACATCCAGATAATGTTTCTATTTTTTGCAGAGACAGGGTCCCTCCATGTTGCTCAGGCTGGTCTCAACCCTGGCCTCAAGCAATCCTCCCAACTCAGCCTCCCAAAGTTCTGGGATCATGAGTTACCACACCTGGCCCTTCTTGTGCATTTTGGGAAAAAACATAAAGGATATTTGTCTCCATGGATTTCAGACATTTTCAGCCACAGAAACCTTGGGAGTTCAACATGCACAATATAAAGAGGAATACGCTTAGTTCACGAGGACAGTGGAGGGGTTGGTCCGAAAACCAAGCTGCAGTCCCTCTGGGGCTCAATCGGATCCCTTTCTAAATGGGGTCAGAATTCTTAAACGCATGTGAGTTCTACATTTCAGAACGGAGATGGCCTCTGTATCCCCTAATTGGCAGGCTCTACCCAATGACAGGTCAGAATTAACACACATCGGCACACGTGCACACACCCGCTGTAAAAGGCTGCTAACGAAGCAACAAAGACACAGATCATGCAAGGGAGCCTGCTCAGGGTCCCTGGGAGGAAAAGCAAATGGAAGAGGAGTGCCGGCTAATGGCTATGGCTATGAAGTGGCTGCATGCCAACTGCAGCTGAGCACCATGTGTGGCTCTTTAATCTAAGACATAAAAGTTGCTAATGCAGCATTTGGAATCCCAATATCTCAATGGCAGCACCTTGTCACATTTCCAAAGTGATGCATTTAAAAAAGAGACTCGGGCCGGGCACGATGGCTCACGCCTGTAATCCTAGCTCTCTGGGAGGCCGAGGCAGGCGGATCGCTCAAGGTCAGGAGTTTGAGACCAGCCTGAGCAAGAGCGAGACCCCGTCTCTACTAAAAAATAGAAAGAAATGATCTGGACAACTAAAAATATGTATATAGAAAAAATTAGCCGGGCATGGTGGCGCATGCCTGTAGTCCCAGCT